TATATATATATATATATATATATATATATATATATATATCCCTATTACAGTACTGTAATAAATAAAAAAGCTATATAGATAAATAAAAAATAGCTTAATGACATTATCATATTTTTAAAAAGTTGAAGTCTCCTTCTTTTTTCGTCTTTTTAAAAATAATTGTAGCTAATGTGCTGTCATTTTAAAATGTCAACCCTGTTACGATTACCGCACATAGTGAACGTCTCAGTTAAGCATTTCACCCTCATTCCCTGAAGGAGGGAATGGAGACATTACATCGACATACTCATGTATGAGGATTCCCTTGAAAACCCCAGTCACATCTGCGTAGAAAAAGAAAAGGCCATTGAACATTGGCGAGTGGAATTTGCCAGCCTGGTCTCATGTTTATACATAGGTATTAATACGTAACATTTATAAGCACAAAACGTACACTTTTGTAAGTTTTTATTCATGCTAAAACGTACAATTTAGATGTATTTCAATGTTTAAAACGTACAAATCGCTACGTATTTTTAGCTAAAAACATAAAAATATTTACGTATCTTTTATACCATTTAGATATTCGTATCAATGCATTTTTATCATTTTATCAATAAGCGATTTAGATTTTTAGACCCCTTAACCTGCCCCCAAACCTAAAGATACCCATTTTATAGCGAATATGCATTTTTATCATTTTATTAATATGCAATTTAGATTTTTTGACCCCTTAACCTACCCATTTTATAGTGATATATAAAGGACATAAAACGCAAATGACCGAAATACGCAGGAAAAAATTTTTTTTGTAACACTATAGCATTAAAATATATTTATAGTCACTAATTCCACTCCTACCTATAAGCCTAAACATTTCTGTACAGTATAAGAAAAACATGACAGACAGATAAATGCAATTAACGTTACAATCATTTATTTATTGCAAAAATGTCAAAAGCAGCACTAAAAGTAATCCAAATGACGATGTGTTGCACCCGCAGTCCTCTCTGGCGGAATACAGTAGGTTTGTGTGATCCAGAGCAGAATTTATGTTGTTAATCGCTGAAAATATTATCCAGATAATTTTCCCGATCCACTCCGTGAACTCGTGAAGGAATGCGTGGCGCATCATTCAAACACACCTCACCAGAAACACGGTATGTCGCAATCTGTGACGAATGCAGGCGAGAGTCAAGAGTCAATACAGACAGGAAGTAGACGCATTTCCGTGCATGCGCAGTACAAATCGTGTTTCCGGTACGGATCGAGTAGCCATTTCCGCGCATGCGCAGTACAAATCGTGTTTCCGGTACAGATCGAGTAGCCACAGAGCGTTCGATTATCCTGCCGTAAAACCTGTCGTTTGAAGCGGCAACATTTGAATTTGTAAAGAACGCGTCAGTCAGCGCGGGTTTTGCTGCTTACGGTCACTGGACTCGCTGCTCGGGATGGAGAAGCAAGCAGATCGCCAAAAAAGGCTTGGATTTGGGTCTGTTCCTCGCAGTCGTATGGATTCGGAAGATTTGGATTACAGCGCATTAATAAAATTGTTTCATTTCGCAATTATGTTGCGTTTTTGGTGTATTTTATAGTTCTATTGTCAGTCACAGCATGTCGGAGAAAATGCCTTTTGTGGCCCATGGCAATCAAAGTAAACATTACATGACAAGTAAAGGTTAAATGATTGCAGAAATGTTATTTATTTTAAGGTTTAAAGTGAAGTCGTGTTTAACATTATGTAGGCATATTCTTGGAAACGAGTTGGCAGCAGAAATCACAACAAAACGAAATGTTATAATTTCATAAATAAACGAGTAAACAATTTAATAATGCAATTGAAAACAAGGTAATTAATATGACAACTAAAAACTAATAAAATTAATGACGCGATTTCAATATTCATAAGGATTCATTTTTAGGTGTCGTCAATACGTCAGTTTTGTACGTTTAAATGCTGAAAATACGTCAGTATTTGTAAGTTTAGAGGCTGAAAATACGTCAGTATTGTACGTTTTAGTACCTGTAAAAACGTAAGTAAATGTACGTTTTATAGAACCACATTTTACGATCACGTTGAATTTGCATGCCCAGCCACTCCCCCATACACAAGTATATAGGATGGTAGCATGCATTCACTCATTCAGGTTTGTGCTGAGGAGCTGAGACTGTATCCTGGTCATTCAGCAGTGTAGTTCAGGGTTGTGGCAAGAGCTGCTGTTCCTTTACCCTAAGTTTATGACTTTTTCACAACAACAACTATAACAACAAAAGAGAACGCTTCAGCTCTTTTCATTTCTTATGTTGCTACATGTATAACACTGTGGAAGCGTGCATAAGTCATGCGGAGAAAGACACTATGGAGACCACATCCTGCCTAAAGGCAGGTAGCATGTAGACAGTACATGTATGGACTGACCGACAGGGCAGTACTACATATGGAAAAGTCTCTGTGGTTGGCCCTACCTCAGGAGGGATGGAACCACTACCAGTGCAGAGACTCAGAAGGAGGTAATGCTCTGAGTGGAGTGAGCCCTCACTCCTAAAGGGCATGGCTCGCATTGTGTCTGGTAAACCAAGATGATGGCATCTACTAATCAGCGGGCTAACCTCTGTTTGGAGATAGCCTTTCGCTTCTGCTGACCCCCAAAGCTGACAAAGAGCTGCTCAGAGCTTCTAAAGCTCTGTGTGCAGTCCACGTAAATGCAAAGAGCATGAACAGTACACAGCAACACAAAGGCAGGGTCTGCCTCCTCCAAGGGCAGTGCTTGTAAGTTCACCACCTGATCCTGGAAAGGAGTGGTGGGAACTTTGGGCATGTATCCAGGATAACGTAAGAGTCAGTCAGCCCAAATTTAAGGCATGTTTTGCTGACTGAAAATATCTATAGGTCCCCTACCCTCTTGATGGAGGTAAGCATGGTCAGAGGTGCTGTCTTCAGAGACACTTCACAACACTGATCGGGTATCTTCTGGACAAGAAGAACACCGCTCAATGAGCAGACTCCACATCAAGGCATAAGCCTGCCAGGTAGAGGGGGCTCTGGCCTGATTGCTAGTAGCTATCACAGCCTGTGACAGACCACTTAAGTCTTCCGTGTTCCATCCAGGAGCCAAACGTGGAGGTTCCAAAGATCTGGATTGCTTGTGCCAAATTGTGCCCTCCCCTTGAGAAAGAAGGTCCTTCCTCAGGGGGAATCGCCAGAGAGATTCTGTCGCAAGGAGAATCAGGTTCGAAAATCAGGTCAGAGTGGGCCAGTAGGGCGCAACCATCAAGACCTGCTCCTCGTCCTACCTAATCTTGCACATGGTTTGACTTCAGAGGAGGAGGTGGCCGGCGAGTTACGACATGCAACTTGAGCGTACACTGCCTTGGTGGTTGATGTATGCAACTCTCGCAGTGTTGTCCATCTGAACATACACATGCTTGACCTGAAACAACGGTCGAAATGGGCGCAGGGCCAGCAGTACTGTCAGCAACTCGAGGCAATTGATATGCCACTGCAGTCAAGGTCTTGTCCAGGAGCCCGAGGCTGGCTGCCCGTTGCACACAGCTCCCTAGCCTGTTCTGGAGCCATCTGTTGTAACAACAACATGTCTGGACACAGTCTGGGGATAATGGTGCCATGCCCATCATGGAACTCGTCCATGTAGCCAGTGCTGAAGCCAGTCTCATATGCATCAATCTGAGCCACGTTACTGTGGCTGCAGATGCTATTTCCCCTAGGAGCCTATGAAATTGTTTCAGTGGAACCGCTGCTTTCCCCCTGAACGAGTTCAGACTGTTCAGCACTGAATGGGTGTGCTTGTTTGTGAGACACGTCGTCATGTTGACCGAGTCCAATTCCATACAGAAGAAAAGAGATGCTCTGCACTGGGAAGAGCTTGCTCTTCTCCCAGTTGACCTGAAGCCCAAACTGACTAAGGTACCAGAGCAGCAGGTCCCTGTGCTTGCAAAACAGATCTCAAGAGTGAGCTAGAATGATCCAGTCATCGATATAGTTGAGAATATAGATGCCCATTTCCCTTAATGGGGCAAGGGCACCCACCGCTACTTTGGTGAAGATGTGGGAAGCAAGGCATATCCCAAAAGGGAGGACTTTGTACTGGTACGCCTGACCCTCGAAAGCAAAGCGAAGGAACGTTCTGTGTTGAGGCAAGATCGAGAAGTATGCATCCTTCTGGTCGATCGCTGCAAACAAATCTTGGGGTCGTACCCTTGTGGTTCTGTAACAGCATCTTGAATGGGAGCTTGTGTGGAGCCTGCTTCAAGACTCGCAGATCCAGTTGTAGCCCACCACCTTTCTTGGGTACAATGAAGTAGAAGCTGTAAAACCCCGACTTCATCTCGACTGGGCGGACAGGCTACATTGCGTCCTTTGGCAGCAGGACCACAGTCTCCACACGGGGCGGGCTGGGAAGCACTAGCCAGGCTCCCAGACTCTGTACAAGTGGCACCAAAGGGACAACCGATGCACCCGCGGAGGGGCAGCGACAGGGAGCACTGGGGCCTGGAGTAGAGGGGGTGAGAGTGGAGTAGCACCTGGTCTTTGAGGTGTGAGCTTTTGGCGTGTGGTGAATGAGGAGGACGAGGCTGGAAGTGAGGAAACGTCACATTGCTGCTTGACTACATCGAGTATGACCCAGAGACTGAGGAAACTGCTCTTTCATTAATAATTTGGGTACCGCTGGCTCATCAGAACAGAAAACAAAGGCAGCAAAAGCCCTATTCTGGGGGAAGGAGTGGTGCTGTCACCACCTCTTGGGAAAGAACAGTCCCCTCCATCTCTTGATTTCCCTTGTCAGGGCTGCTTCGCTGTCCGCTTGGAGGGCTTAGTGGCAGCACTTAACTGTGCTCCGACCAGCAAAACACTGCTGAATGCGTTGTAAGTAGTGATCCTTTCCAGCGAAATAGAGTTTCCCGTTCTGTGAGGGGAATTGTAAGAACAATTGTGCTATCACAGCTGCAACCAGCTCGGCTCCAAAGTAAAAATCTGAATAAATGGATGCACGCTGCCATATTATATACCCGTGTGTACAAGGAAGTGGCTGGGCAAGCAAATTCCACTCGCCAATGTTCATTGGCCTTTTCTTTTACTACTCAGAGGTGATTGGTGTTCTCAAGGGAATCCCCATATGTCAATATGTCAACGTAATGTCGAAGGTTACTGACTGAAAGGGAACAACAGATAATAGAAAGTTAAAATTTAGCAGCAACACACATTTTTCAAATCTTTTAATGTTAAATGAAAAATGTCAGCCCTGTTACCCTTCAAAAGGTGCAATAATGTCCAATACAATTGATAAATTTATGATATGCCAATGGAATGTTTAAAATCTTTATGTATTTATTTATTTAATTTAATGAAATGTTGTGTTGTAACATGTTTTACTTCAAAACTAATTAAAATAAATATCTAATAAAATCAATTATTTAAATTAACAAACAATCATGAATGTAATCATCTTTTGTCTTTCTAGGCATTATGAATCTACCAGCTGTGGCTTTGGGAATCATCACTGGTGGGTTTATAATGAAGAAGTTCAAATTGAATGTTCTCGGAGCAACCAAGATCTGCATTGGAACGTCTCTTCTGGCTTTCTCTTCGCTGCTTATTCAGTATTTCCTGCAATGTGACAACTCACAAGTGGCTGGTCTTACAGTGTCATATCAAGGGTAAACAAGTACTACAGTTCATTGTGTTGTTTATCATCATTTTCTCTGGCAGCTTTGAGTGGTCAATGGAATTGCATCTTTTAATCATGTTCTGTTTGTGTCTCAGAGGCCCCAATTCTTTGTGTAAAAATAACAATTTTGATATTAACTTATTTTCCTGCAAATTCTTTTTATACACTACCAGTTAAAAGTGATCATAATTAATGCTTTGCTTGATGTTTTGAAGGAAGTCTCTTATGCTTACAAAGGCTGCATTTATTTGATAAAAAAGGCAGAAAATAGTAATATTATGAAATATAACCATTTTATATTTTTATATTTTAAAATATAATTTATTCCTGTGATGGCAAAGCTGTATTTTCAGCAGCCATTACTTCTTTGTGTCACATGGTGCTTAATTAATCAATTAAATATATTACAACAGAAGAAAAATTGTTCTTTTAAATTGTAATCAAATCAAATAATAATCAAATAATTACAGCCTTGGTGCATATAAGAGACTTATTTTAAAGAAACGTTTTACTTATTCCAAACCTTTTGACTGGTATTCCTCTGACAAAACCAAACGTTTTTATAGGATTAGGAAAATAATTGTTTTGATCAGTTTTTTTGTTAAGTATTTTTGAGACATTAAAATGGCCTTAGGGTTCTCCCAGATCTCCAAGAGAGTACAACAATGATTTTTGTAAGCCAAGGAGCATACAGTCATTTTTAACTTCAATAAGTGTAATTCAACTTATTTTAAGTGGTTTAATTATTCAATGTATTTATAACAGGGCTCCACGGGTGTCCTACCAGCAAAATACACTAATTTCTTCATGTAATATGGGTTGCTCCTGCTCTCTCAAACACTGGGATCCCATATGTGCCAGCAATGGCTTGACCTATGCCTCCCCCTGCCTCGCTGGCTGCCAGACCTCCACTGGGGATGGCAGGGATATGGTAAGATATTCTTTCCAGACATCTACATGCCTATTGTTGAATCAGTTTTGCCAATAGACCTCAATATAGTTGTGGTCAAAATTATTGACACCCTTGGTAAATATGAACAAAGAAATCTGTGAAAATAAATCTGCATTGTTAATCCTTTTGATCTTTTAAATATATATATATATATATATATATATATATATATATATATATATATATATATATATATATATATATATATAATTATTTATTTTTTTGGATCACTGTCCTAATGGAAGATCCAACCATGGCCCATTATAAGATTTCTAGCAGGGACAGTCAGGTTTAGATTTTTTATCTGTTGCTGTTTGATAGAATCCACAATGCTATGTATCTGAACACAATTTTTATCCATGTGTGCACCAAACCCATTTCCAGTGTTTGCTGCTAAAAATAATAATAATATAAAATAACTAAAAATACAGAAAATAAAACAGAAGTCTTCCATGGAATGTTCCCATTTAGATAGCTAAGTAAATGTATGCAGGTGTGGGTGTAAACGTAAATAAACACACACACACACACACACACACACACAGTCATCACATCACACCAAATCTGAGTGGAATAATTAAAAGTCATACTGCATTGTAACTGTTGCTTTAATGTGATATGTTTTTAGGTTAAAAAGTGTTGAAATTATTTGTTTTTCAGATACATCTCTCTGTAACTATGCTTCTGTATTTTATTGGTCATTATGAAACATTACATTTCAGTAAATTTATTTTTTTATTTATTTATTTAGTCATTTAGCAGACGCTTTTATCCAAAGCGACTTACTACAATTGATTGTTTCTGTTGTCTTCATTTGTATTAAAACAACTAAAAACAGATCCAAAACTAAAAGCAAAAACTTTATAAATACTACTTATACACATTTTAAAAATAAAGAAATTAAATAAAAATGACAAATGCATACAACGAAATTAAAAAACTTAACATTTAAATGAAAAACAAAAAATAAAGCTAAAAACAATTCAAAATATTAAAGAACAAAAGGTATAAGAGTATAATAATGATTCTACCATAACACTAAGCCAAACACCAAAAAAACAACTACATATATGTGTATGTACAACCATACAAACATACATATATATATATATATATATATATACACATTTATAAATTCAA